GGTCACTGCTAGTCAGCAGAATATAAAGTTGTGTGTCATCTGCATAACTTTGGAAATTAATTTTGTAGTTAGAGGACCTAGGATTGACCCCTGGAGAACACCACAAGAGAGGGGGGCTGGGGATGAAGAATATTCCCCCATCACAGCAAAGAATGATCTCTGGGAGAGATTGGAGCGAAACCAAGCAACAGCACTGTCCTGAAGTCCAACATAATTTTCAAGGGGGTTTGTCAGGACTCTGTGGTCGACCGTATCGAATGCTGAACTCAGATCAAGGAGAATTAGAATTGAGTGAGTCTCAGAGTCAGCGGCGATCAATATATAATCAGTAACCCTAATAAGAGCTGTTTTTGTTCTGTGCGGGGTACGGAATCCTCATTGATATTACTGTTATCCATGTGTGCGATTAATTGAGTGGCAACAGAGTTTTCTAAAATTTTGGATAAGAAAGGTAAAGGTTTGAAATTAGCTTCTGTTTACCTGGGGGCTTTCTGTTGCCTGTGACAGGTATTTTCCAAAAGATCTGCCCGAAAGATGGAGAGTCACTGATGGAGCAACATTACATCCACCACATATCCAACCACAAGCTCCATCACTTCTTTGTAGCTGCAGCTGTCCACGATTAAAACCCAGTTTTGGTTGTTTAGCCAGTGCAGAGCTACAGCTGACCTCTGCAGCTGAGGAGGACTTACCTATGGTGGGGTGTATTTCCTGGAGCTTCGGGTTGTTGTGTTGTCGGTGGTAGTAGCCGAGGTGTTTCAGACCCGAGGTTTGAGGATGTGTTTTTTGCAGTGGAAAGAGTTTTAGTCCGACTACGTGTAGCAACAGTGTTCTTGTCATCTTTTCATCCCGACAGAATCAAACTAATGAGAATACTTCCAGCTGCTGAGGTCAGTGATTCCAACTAGCTTGCTACTTTATAACGTGCGTGAGCAGCACGATGATTACGAAAATGAGTCCACTTATGTGGCTGTTGTATTTCAAGTCAGTAGTGACGTGATAACAAAAGTAACATTGTGACAAGTTGTTTGGTTTTGGAGTAACTGTGATATGATAACTGACATTTTATTAGTAATTAGTTACACTACTTGTTACTGGAAAAGGTAATATTATTACTGTAACTCATCACTGCCCAACACTGGACAGAGGCAGTAGATAATGAGCAGCTGATAATAGAGAGAATCTGTGTCTGTAATACCTCTTTGAGAAGTGAAATGGGGATAATGTCTAATAGGCAGGGGGAGGAGTTTATGACACCTGAAGCTTAAGAATTCATAAATATGTACCTCCAGTATTTTGATGGATTTCACTCTCTCAGTAACCTGACCAGTTATTCTGACACAAACACGTTCATGATGGTCTCTGTCAGAGTGTCAAATAAAAAGGTTTGTCTTGCTTATATTTAGGGACAATTTGTTATATTTAAACCATGTGTCCACCGTCATCAGCCCTCATTTAGACATTAGATTTTTTAGATTTTGTGAGATGAAAACTAATTTGTCTCACCAGTGCGTAACACTTTGTGTAAAATTCAAGAGTAATTCAGATCATTGTTAATATGCAGTATGGAGAGAAGTGGCCCTAAGACTGATCCCTGTGGGACGCCATATTTGATGGCTTTACTTTGAGATTTGTGACCATTTACATTTACATTGCTCCTCCCTCCCATACATGTAGCTTCTGAACCAACTGAGCAGTGTGCCTCTGACATCATATTTATTTTAGGTGTTGTCTGATGCTTTTGATAAATCAAGGAAAACTCCAGTGCTGCAGTCGCCTTTATCAGTTGTGTCACTGATTTTTCAATGATCAAGAATCCAGAAATAACTGGTGCTCCTGTTTTTCTGAAGTCGTATTGCAATGGATGAAGAATATCCTCTCAGCTGCAGGACGCTGTTGTTAATGCCTTGCTCAAGGGTATCAAACACTCAACCCTGACTGATTATAGATGACTGGACCTGATGAGGCAAACACACACCTCCAGCTGCCTCTGTGTGTGTGTGTGTGTGTGTGTGTGTGTGTGTGTGTGTGTGTGTTGCCATCAATCTCACTCAGTCATTCTCCTCTGTTTTTCACTTCATTGCTCACGTTACATTTGTCATCATTACCTCTCTGTATCTTCATCATCTCACCTCCCGTGACATCTCATCTCCTCCTCTTCCTCTTCCTCCTCTCTCTGTCTCATTCTGCCCCTCACTGGAAAAAAACCTTTTATTGTACTGATGTAAACATCATGTTTACATGCTAAAGCTGTGATAAGTGAGCATGTAAAATGTATCATAGTAATTTAAAGGTAATGTGGATTATGCCATAATATCTACGTAAATAAACAAAATGTATGATGTATGTTTATGACTGGTGGGTGGAGTCATACAAACACAGGGTGGACTGGTGGGTGGAGTCATACAACCACAGGGTGGACTGGTGGGCGGAGTCATACAACCACAGGGTGGACTGGTGGGCGGAGTCATACAACCATGAGACGCTAACTCTGGTTAATCCACATATCTCAGTACCTCCTGTGAATGAGACTGTTGGGGATATTTGGTTTATAGAAGAAGCATTCAGCTGTTTTTGTGTCTCCTTCAGTTTGAGCTGATTTACGACATACAGCCACTAAACCGGTTTATCTGCGTCCAGCGTGCGTTCATATAACTGCAGTGACCTTTAAATCCCGAGCTGATGTAAAGTTAAACACAAACCGTGCATATCATCAGAGCAGCAGCTGTCCACCAACAAAGAGAAGTCGCCTCAGCTTTTTATTCGAGGAAAAGGTCAGAAAATTTGAGTTCAGCATTCATTGTCACCGTGTGTTAGTTTGTCTGAAGGATCTCAGTGTGTGTGTGTTTGTGCTGTAAACAGTCCGACCCTTCATCACACTGAACCATGTGTTTTAATCTCACGTTTATATTTTGCTCACGTTCCTCAGTTTGTTGTTTATTTCACAGACTGTTAAGCAGCATTTTGTTTGACACCAAATTTAATTCTACGCTTGTCTCCTCTCCTGCCATCCAGTCTCATCTTCCTCTCTTCCATTTCTTCTGTTTGTCCTCCCCCCTCCTCCTCCTCCTCTCTTCTCTCCTCTCTTATGTAATTATTTCCTCACCTCCTCTTCAGCACCTCTTAAATCCTCCTCTTCCTCCTTTTTCTTCCTCTTCTTCTGTCAGACAGCTCAAGATGTTTGTATAATACAGAGTTGGCTGTGTGACTGACAGAATACCTCTACATACATACATACATACATACATACATACATAAC